GGTCATCCACGTAACTACCTGTGTCATAATCCCCCATGATCTGTGAGAACAGAATGAAAAATTCGGTGGATGCTCACGCGCTCAGTCGCTTTGCTCTTGTCGACGGTGAGAGTTCTGTTGTCATGAACCGCGCTTATGAAAAACGTTCATTGTACCACGGCGTAAAGTTTGGCACGAAATTTCTTCAAAACCCGTGCTATCACGTGGTCTTTTGGATTGTAAACATGCTCGAGGCGTTTTCTGTTCTCGCGGTAATTGTCAGCGAGGATTGCATCAAAAAGACGCTTTAGGAGGTAGCTCCAGTTTGCATTATAAAGCTGACGGGTGGTCATGTCTTGCACGAAGAGAAGCTGATCCAGCGAAGCATTGATAATGCTAAGGTAGCTGGCTCTCACGGCAAACGCAGCGTAGTATATGGTATTTTCCAGTCAAATCCATCGTGGCAACGGATGACATTCAAAATCTCCAGGTGAAAGAGTTCACAAACCGCGTTCGCTTTTGGGTTATAGCTTGTTATGGGCTTGGACTGCATTTCGTAGCTGCGAAGCATCTCCTGGAACTATTTATTAGTGAACTCCGTCCCTCGTTCATGTATGACTCTCACCGGACGCGGGTATCTGCACAGCCATTGAAGATCTAAGCTCTCGGCTGTAATTTGATCATTGTTATCAGGCTGGATACCCACTTCCAGAAAAGCGTGGCGTGATCGACCATTGCAATGCCATAGTAACCATACTCGTAGGGACCAATGAAATCAGCATGAACAGCGTCGAAAGAATTCACTGTCTTGAGTGTACGATGTGGAAAAAATCAGTAGTCTTGCTTGCCTCCATGTACCTTGGCCTTCTTGCAAACAGAACATTTTTTCGTCTCATTGTTTATCGCGGATTCCATACCGGGCCGGCAGCCCATGTCTCATCGTCTTATACTGGCTTTCACTTTCAGGGTGTCCGATAATCAGATGGTTTTGATTTATTAGGTCATGGCGTAGGATGCCGGGCACAATGACGCGTTTTTTGCACGCAAACACCGTACAGACGATTAGCGGTAGAAACTGGATGTTGGGGTTGTTGCTGCCTTTAAGGCACAATATCTTGATCTTCTAAATCATGTCGTCTTTCTATTGGTGATCGCGTAAAACATGACCATGCATGACACAGTATAGCTCATCGGTCGCCGTACAATCTCCTCTACAGGCTGCAACTGAGAGATTGTCATCAAGTTGTCAAACCGCATCCGCGAAAAAGCGTCAGCATTAACATTTTTCGTTCCCTTGATATAATGGAATGAGAGGCGGTATTCCGCAAGGTGAAGCTTCCAGCGCTTGACTTGAAGGCTGGGTTCTTTAGGATTATTGCGATTGATGTGAGCGACTACAGGAAAACCGAGCAGCATGGTGCGGTATTCGCGCAAAATTTTCGCAATGATGAGAAGCTCGAGTTCCATTGTGGTGTAATTCACTTGATGCTTGTTCAGACTTCGCGAGTAGCATTCAAGAATCTGATTTCTCTACATTATGTTATCGCCGATGTGCTTGCCGCTGGCGTCAGCATAAACGTGAAATGTTTGTTATGAATAGAGAAAAGCGAGCAGGACCGCGTGCGCAAACGCTTTCTTAACAGCGTGAAACGCTTCCTTATCACTGGGTAGCCATTTGAGCGGTACTTTAGCTCTTGTGAAGCGGTTAAGCGGTCGAAATAATGCCGTCTTGTTCGGTACCGTGTCCCTTTAGTAAAAAGTCATGCCGAGGAAGCGTAGTAGCAATGTTATGGTGTTGGGTACGGCGATCTGCTGGATTGATTAAATCTTTGTCTGCTGGGGTTGAGTCCCCTCGGATGTAAGCGTAAACCCAGGTTGTCAAGAGAAACGCGTAGAATGTGCCATTTCTTGCCGTTGAGAGTAACATCATACTTCTCCAGACGCCTGAACACAGTATCCAGGTATTTGAGATGTGTCTTCTCGCTATTCGAGTAAATGAGAATATTGTACAGATGAACGACGACAAAATCCAGGTCACCAAATATCTTCTCCATGCACGCTTGATATTTGTCCGGCGCCGTAATGGAGCCCCTTGTACAAAACTTCTCGAAAGGTAAGCAGAAAGCAGTTTATCTTCGTCTTTAGGTAGCGATACGACGTGCGTAGTACCCCATGTTTGCATCTAGCGTAGAGTAACACTTCGCTCCCGCAAGACGTAATAAAATTTCTCGAATACGACGGACATATTATATGTGCGCTGCAAATACCGAAGGAGACCACGAAGTCGATCAGGAGACGAAGTGAACCGTTGGGTTCTTCAGAAAAGGCTGGTGATGCCATTTTTGAAGCAGAGTGTAATCATCGAAATTCATCCTTCCTAAGTGACCATCGTACCAGCTTTTATTATGACGAAGATTATATCGATATTTGTCGATGAGAGAGTTGGGTAGCGTGTCGGGCATGAGTTCTTCTAGAAGAACTGCGCTTCAGCGACTTCTATACTTTCGTCAAGGAACTCGGGGTCGTTAATCTCGAAAGAGTGCAACCCGCCGGTGTTTAGGTGCACGCAGAGACCGACCCACTGCACAATCTTTTCCTTGAAATCGATCACTATGCCCAACGAAGTCATGATGTCACAACCAATCAGCATCTTGGCTCTTCTCCAAAATTTCGAACCTGTGAGTCATGATGGCCGAAGGCTTGAGGGATGCAAATCGGGACTGATCTATTGCACTACCATCACTCGCCATTAACAGTCTGAAGCTTGGTCGTCGATGCGACTTGTTTACGCCCAAGCTGGACATTGGCCTGAACATTCTTCTGGTTGATGATGCCCAGCGACGCATCACTGTCTAGCAGCGCATCGAAGATTCCGTTCGCGCTCTTAAACAGAACCTTGATGCGTCACGGAGTGAGATTAGTGCTGGTTTTCGTCTTGACCAGACCCACGAGCTATAAATAGCTGTCGCTGTCGCTTGAATCTTCTTGAAATCTGGGATACTTGTTATCACTCGCGGCTGTTGCCTATATCTCTGCAGGCTTGTGCTTTTTGCACTGCTTCTTGAGGGCGAAGCACTCGATAGAGTTGTGGGGCGTTTTTGTGGAACGTACACCATATACCATTATCATGGTGGCGCTCGTTTTCTTTTTGTCGCCTGTCACATTCCGTCGGCGATGACCATTGTCGTGGAAAGCAAAAACGATGTTCGCGCTGGTTGCGCCTGTCTCTGCGGTCATTGCGGTCATTTAACTGGCGTTGATGGTCGCGCCGACCTTAACCCCGTCCACTAGGCTTCCCTTGACCATACTGGTGTTCACGACCATTCTGTCTTTCTTGCCTTTTGAGGCGCTCAAAGTACATCTCAAGTTCGGTTGTGGTCTTGTATGAGATTCCACAAAATGCGAGATTGTTTTTCCAGTTCGGAGGCATAGCTCGGCGGAAGTAGCCGCTTAGTTGCAACTTCCGGGTAGTTGGACCTCCGAGATGGTTCGCGCATGATGAAGCAACTCGGCGTACATTTGAGCAAACCTTCGCAGACTTGCCGAGTAGCGTCGAACTATTTCATCGCGGCGCTTGGTAAGGTTCAATGGCTCCTCATCCAGGTCTTCACTTCAGTCCGCTGGAACCATGAGTAAGCCGACCTTACGGTAAAAGTCTTCTAGCGTGAGTCCTTTCTCGGAAAATTCGCTGGCGATGCGCTCTACCTCGCGCGATAGATCACAGTCGATTATCTTGGGAAGTTGAACGGTGAGTTGGTCATCACCCAGACTTTTCTTTTCGCGAGGCTCTTGAACTTCATGCTCTATGCAAGCCATTCCTTCGAGGATCCACCTCGAAATCGCTTGATCCTCATCTTGGGGACGTCAGATGGTGGTGCTTCACTTTCGTGGCACGCCACAATCTTGTACGTGATGTACTCATCCTCGTTGTTCCGTCCCATGTTGAAGGCGACGGGATTCTCGATCTCGATTGGCCAATTTTGGTATATCAAAATGACAGACCCGACTCGTGGCTGGCAGAGGAGCTTAAGTCGTTGAGATTAAAATGGAGAATATGCAATAGTTGGAGGGACTTTAGGTAGGCTAGACTGGTGCAATCAACTTGTGCAATCAGCAGTTGCCAAGTACTGGTGCAATCGTCGTGGCAATTTTCTTGGCAATCATCGTCTTGGCAATCATCGTCTTGGCCATCATCGTCTGCTCTCGCAGGTCATCCCCGATACCAACTGTGTCAGTGTTTCCATGTGAACCCAGCGGCAACATACCGCGCTGACGTCTACATTCGATACACTCTTACTCTACTCTTTAAGTACCCAGGTGGACTCTTCAGCACGCATCCTGGTCACTGGCTGAGCCTCTGCAAACGAAGGTATGTCATCGGTTCTCGACGCATATGCAACTGCGTCAGTGGCATCCATTGTAATGTGAGCATGCAACCACAGTGACTATACGAGAAGCAGGAGGCAAGCAAAGTTGTATTTGGTGTATGCATGATCAAAGTGACCATAGTTTGACGAATTTGTGCACGAAAATTCGATCTCCACAGCTTTCGTTTTTAGTAGTGCGTTCACCCATTACAACTAGCCAAAAAACGAGGCTCTCCCAGCTTTGCTAATAATTGGAGACAAGGTCGTCGCACTGAACCTCCGTATAATCCAGTTTTCAGCAATAGAGACTACGCTCGCAGTTGGGTATGACTTCGAAGTTACGCGTGAGACATAACGATGCTAGCTTTCAGCTTCCGCGTTTTAAGATGATTTTCACGATCGTTTGACGATTATTCGTTCGTACAATTCATTGACAGCCCTCTCGCTTTTTCATCGTCCAAGAATTGATACCTTACCGCTCACTTAACTACGGAGATCAAAAGTCGTCAAAACAAAACGTCTGTAATACCGTACACCAGCATACGCAATTCGAAAATCGCTACATTGTAAACATACCTTTTTTGCGCAGCAAAACCGATTAAATACTGGTACGCACCTTCGTCGACACTGTCACGCTGGCATTCGCACACGAGGATGACAGCCGACACTGCGTCGCTCGTGCGCGCACTCGGAGAGCACGCGGTTTCGATGCATTACCAGTGCCGCAGTCGCGTACGCAGCAACGAAGAGAAGAAAGCTGTCTTGCGATGGCTGCGTGGCCTGCGTCGCGAAGAACTGGCGTCTCTGTGCTGCGTCGAAGACGTGGGGTTTGTCAAGACGCTGCTGCACATGGCAGCGCTGTCTCGAGGCGCCCAGTCGCATGTACAAGAGTTCCAAGTGCTGCCACCGACATCGAGTGCTACGGTGTCGACCCAAACGAAGCGCACTGCGACGACTGTGTTGCCAAGAACGGCTCCAAGGCGAGGGTCCTGAAGCTCATTTATTTATTGATTGTAACTGAATTGACGGAACTAACGTCGATGTTCTACATGATAGGGACTTTGTCAAGCGACCCGTGCTGCAGACAGTAGATGGCGATGTGATTGGATGTTTTCGTACCCGAGAGTACGAGGAATGCTGTGCAAAGGTGCTGAAAGGCCTGCGAGTGCTCAACGCGCTACAGTCTTGCGACACGGTGGCGCTTTCGATGGAGTTTTTTCGCTGTCACGACACGAAGCGTGGCGCTTTTGCTCATAGTGTCTTGCCTTTGTTCGAAGTGATATCGTGTGGTGGCTTTTTGATGGCGTGTCCGTCTGTCGCGACGTTGAAACACCGAATATGGGGCGAAACAGAGGTGCGAGCTCAGCATAGCGACAGAAAGGGAGGAATATCTGACGTGTGTTTGAGCTATTGTGCGGTGCGAATGGATGAAGTGGCTAAAGAAGCAGGGATACTATCCGCTACAAGCGCTGTTTGTCAATCAAATTGTGCGTACGGTCTGCAACCCACTGGACTTCTAGACCATTGGATCGTGTAATTTGACAGTGTCCTGATGAAAACGATTGACGTTATCTTTTATGCAACGCGGTAGGAGCTCAACATTTGGGCGTCATGGAAACAACACACGAAAGATGAGACCTCAACGGTACCACTGCAAGGTCTCGCAGCGAAACTTTACTTGATGGAAGAATGGAGAAGTGCAAGTGTCAGCCAACGTAACGCGATGTTACGAGTGCTGGGTTCGAAGATGACGGAGCATCTTCGCGACTTGAGGCAGTCGGTGCCTATTCAAGCGAGCGGGGCAGAAAAATATCAAGCTGCGCGATTTTCATTGGAGTCTCTTATGCGCATACTGACCGTGCGTCAGCAGCCACTACTGCGAGCCGACGAGCGCGTGTCGGTGAGTAGCTGTTTTGCATGTGCATTTGAAGATGCAGTAACTTCTCCACAAGCAGTAGTGATAAAGCTGTTGCTAGCGGAGCATCTACAAGAGCAGTGCTCGCTCTTGCTTTGTGAAAGGCTGTCGAACGAAGAGGAAGCGGCTGTTGCAACAAGCTTGTCAATTGACGCCGTTACCAATGGTGCCGGTGCGAAGGACGAAGGTGCTAAAGGCGTGGTCAAAGGTAGCAACCATTCGCAACGAAGACGTGCAAGCCGAAAGAAAATGCTCCGACTTCGTCGCCGGGAATGTGAAACTCGCATTGCTCAGCAGACGTATTTTCGTAGCATGCTGCGTGAGCTGTGCGAATATTTTCGCCAAAAGCAAGCAGAAGCTACCGCGTGCGTGGATGAGGGAGTATGCGAAGCAACGGACACTGCCATCAACGAGGACCAGCTAGTATCTGGTAGCTGCCTTCCCAAGAATTCTGTTCGGTCCAGACAAAGACGAAAAAAGAAGAAAACGAAAGAGAAAGAGGCGAATACAACGGAGCGTGGAGACGACAATCAATCTGTGACGATCTCTCTTCGAAGCGCTGTCACGTTGTCGGCCACACCGCAACCGTGCCAAACGGGTGATGAAAACGATGCTGATCAACACAGCGCTGCAGCCACGTGCTTGTACTCTGCACCATCTGAGCAAGGTGAGCCGCTTGTTGATAGCAACAGTGACGGCGAGAGTACGCCTGACGGCGGTCCGCGCTTGAAGTTTTCTCCCAGTCTTGGGTCAACTAGGCCAACGATGTCGTCGGCCTCGTCTGCGATGCCGACGTTTGGCGCACAGCCGCTTTGCCTGTCGTCGGCAATGGCACCCTTCTTCCTTTCGCTGGCACCAAAAGACCATCGTACTCAATCATCCCGGGCTCTTCGTCAAGTCATTAGCGACGAGGATGGCAGCAATGGAGGGGAAACATGTCTGGCTGGACCGGAAAGTGCTCCTCGCGAAGCACCCATGACGTCTGAGGCGGCAGATTTCGAGTGGTACATGCCGTTCCAGACCTCCGCGCAACGAAGCAATTTGACAATGCCTGCTCTCGACTGGCATTTTGATCATTGGCAATTCAAGACTTCGGGTGAGAGTGTGTCGGACCGGGAGGTATCGTCTTGTGCGATAGAAGGTGCAGACCATCTACCGCCACCGCCTTTGCCGTCATCGGTTTCTGCGGCTGCATCTTGTTTGACTAACGCAAAGTTATCGGCGTCAACGAAAAAGTATTCATTGGCATCATTCTCCAAAATCGCTGGGATGGAGTCAAGCCGACGAGGATCTGCCCATGCAGTAAATGGCAAATACGGTTTCACAGTCACATCGATGCGAGAGAATGACGATGGGACCTCGATCACCGTGGACAGCGATAACGAATCCGACTTTTTGTATCGTGAAGGAGGATTTTTTGATCGCCAGCGCGCGCTAAAACGTCCACGGCGCCTATGGCCATTTGACTATGCTCACGGAGACGATGAGGCGGATGCTGTAGATGAACGCGATTCTCGCAAAGAGGGGCGTTTGTATTCGGACCGGAGGCCAAAACAGTGCGATGGTGGATCGGCGGCAGCTCGAAATGGTGATGCGTGGACAGAGTGTGTTCACTGCTGTGTATGTAAATGTCACCGCAACACTTGCCCTCGAACTGAGGGCGCCCTAGGTAGCGAAGCAGACTGCAGCCACGTCACAGAAATAGATGGTTCTGCACACCAGTGTGTCCCCACACCTTCAAATGTTTCGACGAAAGCTGCCGAAGATGATTTAGTTGCCAAAGTTACGATGGCGTTGGAGCGGATCAGTACGCTGGAAGAAAAGCTGGCTGAGAAAACGAAGGTACGGGTTTGTTGTGGACGCAATGTGACATTCCGTATTGCGTGCTTATCGTGTTCCCCGCTGATATATCTAGGCCATGGATGAGCAAGCTAGCAGTGCGTCTTCTGAAATCAACACGCTGAATCGTGCTGTGGCAACACTGACAGCTCAGCTGCACAACATCGAGAACGATGTCCAGGAATTGCAACTTCAGCGTTCTGTCCCAGGTACCACTGGTGAAATGGACGACATGTCCCAGGGCAATGCAAGCTCTTGCAGCTCGCCGCCAGCTCCATTTTCACCAACCCCATCGTCGCTGAACTGTCAAGTCGATAGCCCGTCTGCTGCTGCACCCACCTTTCCGGAAGCATACCCTCCAACTCACTCGGTATTGGGACCGTTCGTATCGGTCCCTTTGTCCGTGCTTCCTCCACGCAGTAAACTCCACTGGGATCTATGCGAATTTGCAGCACAGCTTCAGGCTGACAGTGATTCCCGTCTCCCTGCTCAGCTTGCTGCTCATCGGTTATGTATGGCGACTGTGCAGTCGCTTTGGCCGCGTGCTCAGGTGCGACCATACGGCTCGCATGTAACGCGGCTTGTACTTCCGTCAAGCGACGTCGATCTCGTAATATGCTTGCCGAAGGTACGTCGTGATGCGCCGGCCGACGCAGCTGGCATGCTCGAGGGTCGAAATGCGATCAAGGAGACGTGGCAACAAAATCTCGCCCGCAAGCTAAAGCAAGAGCCATGGGTCGTGTCTGACTCGGTGAAAACGCTACCCCATGCTGCTGTCCCGATTATCACGCTCCTCACTGCCCCGCCGTACAACGTGAGGCTCGACATCTCTTTCGAAGGCCCGGGCCATAACGGTTTGGCTACCAATGACGTTGTTCTTGCGCTGCTTCATGAATTCCCGCCATTAGCACCAATGATGCTCATTCTGAAAAGCTTTGCAATCGAGCGAGGTTTGGCGGTAGCGTATTCGGGCGGGCTGTCGTCATACGCGCTGCTGTTGCTCGTGGCGCGTTATCTACAAGAACACAGCGACACAATGCCCAATGGGTTTGCAAACGCTTCACGGGCTGTCCAGCACAGTCTGTCGACAGTACAGGCGGGTGTCGCTGATTTCGGTCTGATGCTCATGGGCTTCTTGGACTTTTACGGCAACCGCTTCGATCCACGTACAACGGGAATAAGTGTAGCCTCGCGCTGCTTTCTAAATCGTGAGAGCAGCTTCATGGCTGGAACAGGAACCCCAGCAATGGGTGATCCTCATCAAATTCCACATCCCTATCAGCAGATATACGCGGCCGACGATGCCGCCGTGGACGATCGAACGAGCCAATATGGCTATTGTCAACATTGGCAAGTACCTGCGCAGCCTCACGTGCAAACGTTTTTACCAAATTCTGAGGGAGCTCCTGCTCATGGCTTCCGACGATACGGTTACCGTTCGTCGCTGGATCTGCCGGCATCCCAAGCGTTGGATGAAATGGGCACCGCGACAGGGCTTTTAGACTACCAGCAGCTGCAGCAGCAGACGTACGACCCGCACAAATTTGATCCGGTCTTTATCGAAGACCCGTTATGCCCGACCAACAACGTGGGAAGAAATTGCTTTCGTATCATGCAGATCCGCCGCGCGTTCTCAGCAGCTCATCTTGCACTGCTTGCGGCATCGCGAGACCCTGCGGTGTTTGTAGATAACCGGATCGATTTAGTAGCTGGTGTTGCGCTCCACCCGGACAATCTTTTGCGCGCCATCTTGGGCGCTGGTGCCCCTGTGAAAGCAAAGCCTGATGCTGCAACATCAGCGACCGTCGGGGTCACAGCGTACATGGGTGCGGAACATTCGCACGGGTTTCACTCGAACAATCGGCAGCAAGTGCACCAGCAACAACAGCATGCTTACCATCACCACCACCACCGGCCGCCGCAACAGTCACATCTTCACCACGTTGGAACTCCACCGCCACGTAGCGTGGGCACGTGCCGTAATGAGCCAGCATCGCGAAGGCACAGCGAAAGTGAGAGTGAAAAGCTGACGACGCGTTCGACAACTTCGACAGGTAGTCGTGACGACCGCCCACGGATAAAACACGTGGGCAGTCCACAACTCACTCCTCATAGTCACGGTGGCGACAACCCTTCCGAAGTGCAAGTGCGCTTGCTTCGCCACGTCTCTACGGAGCACGGTCAGACACGAAAGCTGTCCTCTTTGCATCGCCAACACATTGCCAAGAGGTTCAGTCGCAAGAACAGTGAACGCTCAATGAGCTTGTCCTTGAGCTTTGCAGACGTTGTACGCGATGGTGGGGGAACAAATGGTGTATGCGTGACCGTGCCAAACACGTCGCGTCCGGCGATTACCCGACCTTCACGATTCTCGCGCGACGACATGGCGCTGGAGGAAAGTATCACTGAGCGATGGGAAACCAAAGTCGACTCAAACTCAAGTGAATTGAAGTCAGCATGAACGAGTGAGAAGCTCCTGTGCTTCGAGCACAAAGTGGTTCCCAAATCACGTCGATTGAATAAATACGGCAGGCACAAACCGGTCCGGTGACGACGTCACATCTACCAGCACACCGCTGTTTAGCACTGGATGTCCAAGCGGTGGAGCTGCGTTGACGCGGGCCTTAGCCGGAGGAGCCAAAGCTGTAGACAAACCCCTGGGAATGGTCGAACAAGACGGTAGAGCACGGCGTGAGTCTCGAGGCGTCACGTCAACAAGGCGTACGTTCTGGTGCTGAGCAGCAGCTGATCAGATACCACTGATCAGCGACAAATGAGCATCAAGTACGTCACTAGCGTACCGACTTCTCGCGCTTGCGCTCGACAATGTCGAGCTTCATGAGCGTCTGCAAAATCTCCTTGCACCGAATCACAGGCAGCCCGCTGTGGTTCACGAGGTCCGAAATCGAGCTACCACAAGAGATGGTCAGTCGTTCACTTTGTCAGAACAAGCATCAGCCACTCGGCGGACAAAAGCAAAGCCGACGTACATGGCACAATGACGATTCTTGAGATACAGGACAATATTTTCGAGCTTCTTCAGCTCCGCTGGACTCTGGTACTTGCGTGGAATCTTCTCTCGGACATCTACGACAGCAGAACACAATCGCGGTAAACTCAGTCAAGCACGAAAACTCACTCAGACGACGCACGCGTCACGTCAACGTACGGCGTTCCCACGTCCACGCTGGTGGCGCTATCTTGGTCGTCTGCGTCGTCCGTCTTCTCTTGATCCGAGTGTTGCTCGGTCCATGAGGCTCCACTTTTCCGTACCGCTTGATGCTATTCGCAGTACCGGTCACCTGCTTCGGGGGCTTGACGTGTTGCTGCTGCTGCTGCTTGTTCCCAGGGCGGGTTTCCGACTTGCTGCTGCTATTGCGTCCTCCCAAAGACCCCTCTCGCTTCGCGTGGATGCCACTTTCAGTATGCAACGCGCTTGCGTTCGTACCTCCTGTCGTGGGAGACACGTGCTTGTCCTTGAGCCCCCGAGTCAGCAGAGCTGAAGAGAGAGTCGTCTTGGGGTACGAGAGACACGATGCGTGCAGAGCCATAGCCCCTTGGAAGGCGCCAAACGCCGAGTTGAAGTCGTCGACAGCGTTGTGGACGCGCCTGAGCTGCTCTACTTGCTCCTGCAGGCCGCGAAGGGCTCCGCAGAGCTCCGTGAAAGGTCCGATGAGAGGGTCCGCCATACAAGACGTCAAGTTGGAAACGATTGAAACTCGTGTCCAGCGTGGGTACACCCAATGACTTCCTGGTCGTCTTTGAAATATGAAAGGAGCGGCGTGGATTACAACCATCGAGCTGAACGATATTATACAGCGCTGTAACGCACGCTGCGTCTTTTTATCAGAGCGTAAAAATGACGCTGTGCAGCTTTCACACGGACCCTTTTTGTTTGCTCATGTTTGGTCACGCAGTCAGAATTCAGGTAATCTGCAACGTAATTTACCATTACAAAGCGATACATGTCGGTACTAACTGACACCATGCGATACAAAAGAAAAAAGGTTATGTTTGACACTCACGCGGCACGTGCGAGTCTGTCGATTCAGAGAAGGACAAATATTTCGCGACGACATCCAGCAACCTACAATGTGCGCTAGATCGCAATGAACAAATTGAACACGATAAAGATTACAAAGAGGGTCAAATGTCTCAGGTCTTTGCGAACAAGTGACCTAGTTCAGCTTGTGCAGGTTAAAAGCCCAGCGCAGTGGCTACAACATCCTGGCGCTCGTGTCATCGCAGAGGGTGTTTGTGCAAATTCTCACAGCTCAATGTGCCCGATTCCCAACGCCATTCCTATTCTCTAAGGTGCAACACCAACTACCGATCCTTTGATCCCGAATGAACGCTCGACTTTGGCGTCTCACGAGACAATTCACTCCGGGACTATTTGCGGCTTCGATCTTGTTCTATAGGTACTGGACACGAGGCACCGCCAAGCGCTAAGCAAGTTGGCCAGCTTTCGCGTCGCATGTACATGCGAAGTTCGGCTGCAATTTTCCTTCAGCCTGAAGGACCGCGAACGTAAAGGAATATCGGGTACGCGATATCGACAATGGAACAATGTCGATGTGAATATTACCCTCATCGATTATGATTAATACAAGCTCGCGATTTACTTATAGTGGTATTATGTATCTCATTGACGATTTTTTGACAATCACACAAATGTCAAATTGCCGATTCTTTTATACCTAGTACATCGCTACTGTATTTTGTCGTATGGCTATGTATCATAAAGGTGCTCGGCAACGTTAAAGCCAAGCGGTGTCTCGAGCTGACATTTGGTTGCTTCCTTGCGTGAACGAATGTGCCACTTGTCAAGAACATGACATAATCATTTACATAAATTGTACTGTCAATCAAACCATTGATAGAGCCAACGTGGTTGTCTTTTCATTTTCGTCAACAACACGATCGCTTATTGAGGTAGCAGTGCTCTCGACCGACAGAAACGTTGCGACAGTAGCAGATTGGTTTGAAGCTAAGTTAGTACGACCGCGTCGACCCTAGTGCTTGTATATATGCATCTCCAAGTAAAAAACGGGGGGGGGGTATTAAACCCCTTTGTGACCTTCGCTAACCCCGACGACGCCATCGTATCTCGCCGTATCGGAAACGATGCAATGGTAGATTCCTTCGCCACATCGAACCTGTCATGACATGAGACATTCCGTGCCCTTGGATAAAGATCGACCGCTGAGATGTGGCTCAGACATACGTTCACGCCGCCACGTGCCTATCAGATCTCACCATACATCGGATGTGTCAGATGAGACGTAATGCTCCAAGCTGAGACCAATACACACAACAATACCTCGCGAGTTGTATCGTGGCGAATCAAGATAATGCTCTCACGTATCCCAGCGCTCACCAAGTGTCGTACGATAACTCACGAAACCTTACCCACCTCGCTTCAAAATGGGATCTCAATTTTGAGCGATTTCTGTAGCGAAACAAGAGGGCTATATCCTGAGACAGATCAATTAAACTCTTTATCCAAACTCATAACGAAAGACAAATTTTGATTACTAAGACATGAATGACTTCTGTCAGGAGAACGAAAGCCTCGCTGTTGTAGTCGTACACAATTGTCGAAGTGCAATTGCCAGAATCGAGGCCACTACGGCTACCAATGTAATTTTTACATCCATTGTCCCAGAACATGAGAAAAAAGGATTGACCGTTCGCCAAAAATGGCCAAGCACGCGAATCTGACCTCTTAGCAAAAATCGCAACAGCATGTCAACCGTCAATCTACGGTATGGGTCAATATAGGCAGCACTCACTGCGACTTCAACGCCACGACAGTCCGAAAAACGTTTAAAAAGGTTTGCTTCCAACGTACAATACGTATGCTGTTAAAATGTGACTTACGCATCACTTCCTTGGCGAGACAAGTAAAAATGGGCGTCACATGGACGCGAGTTGACTACGAGTCGTCTATAGCATTTTTGCCGCTTGAAGCTAGCCGATCCGTAAGCGCAATCACTTTGATCAAATGTTTTGTGTAGTGAGGTGTGATGGTGCATCCAGCAGCAGGCACATCGATGATCGTCAGTACGGATGTATTGGGCATACCTTACACGCAAAGGTGTGATTGCAGAAACGATTTTGTTGTACTACATGTGGGTGACAAATTTTCTATTATTTAGCACAGCTGTGAAATAAACAATGATGTACTAGAGTTTCGGTCATACGAGATGTCAACTCATAAGCTTGACGAACACTTCATAGAATGACAAAATAAAACATGATAATAAACTCGAGTACACACAACTAAGGTAAACGTCTTCAGGAAATCGAAGCAGAGACGCCTGCATATATAAAGGATTGTAGTAGGTATTGATATGCTCAATCTGATGCTATCGCCGTAGGTAAATTATAAGATCAAACAATTGATGAACATTTAACCTGAACAGCACCAGCGAGATCTGTTCAACGATAAGTCAAAAAGATCTGCTTTTTACGTTTAAAGCGACGAGTAAGCTTCAAGTTTTGGTCTGCAGTAGTTTCGGTGAGAACAAACGGGTCAATGCGCTCGTCAAAACATCGCCATAAATTCAGGTTCACAATGCTGTGACATGAAGCAGGGAGGTCTCGATCATACATCCTGTCATTTGATGTGAAGTGCTTTGCCAGTTTGTCTATGATACGGAGTCAGCCCTCGCCATATTTTCCTTCATTTCTTTTGTTCGTGTATGGCCACAGATCGAATGGAGACAAGTTCAAGCGTACAATCAGTTGAGCTCGACAGCCAAGTTTCAGAAGCCGCGACTGAGAAGGAAGTGACAGTGACAATGTGTCAAAGAGCTTCAAACATCCGTCGATGTTGAGTAAGTACATGGTCATTTGATGACTACTAGGGATGTGATCAGTGACAATGTGTCAAAGCACTAAATTTACGTCGATGTATCTTCTAGGTGGAATTTATCAGCTATTAGCTAGTAAATGGGACACATGTGGGGGTTCGCAGCAGTAAGAAGGGGTTCGCAGCAGTGAGAACACGTTGTGGGTGGATCTGGAAGGGGTTATATATACCGCAGAAGAATATTTGTGTCCTAGCAAAATCCAAGAGATGTGTCTCGCATCTATTTTACACCGCTTCAACTTTCTCGTTGCGATACTTCGACGATGTATTCGTTCATAGCCAATCTTCTTCGAAATCAAACAAGTAAGATTCATACATTTTATATCGTGGAGGCTATTCCAATTCATGCGCGTGAACGTACGCTGTTCAAGAGTTTAAAGATTTGCATAGCCGAATATACTTATATATCCTACAATAACGTATTGTAAATACGCTTGGAGTACGCCGTGGTTCAAAATGGTACAGATGACCAACGAAAGACGAGTGCTAGTATCAACCACACCATATTTTTGGTTTTGTCGGAGCTATCACACAAGTCCTCGTATAGATATACCAAGATTGTCGTGCATCTTTCGTGTCGGCTACAGAAGAGTGATAGTCGGTTTATGTGTTTAAGGTAAAGCAACGAATTGTTATCTATGTATGATAATTTATTCCATCGCTAGCGTCGGCGATTATGGAACAGGACATTGTGGAAGTTTGACGATCCCGAAGGGGACATTAAACTTGCGGTGAAGTGATGTTATATCGTAATGGCTTATGTTAATTGTAAATGCGTGGCCTACACCTTATTCGTTGTGTGGAGCATGTCATTTCGTGCTTAGGTTAAAGGACGGGTCTTAATCGAATAAACTTACTCTTCTTACTCATATACCGTGTTCGTGGCTTGCGTTCCATCTTTCAGTCGCAGAGTGGCTGGGCATGTAACAGGTTATGAGCCCAATGGGGGACTTCTCTCAATACTTCGTGGACGATGTAAAGAAGCACGACTCATCAACCGTGGAAACTTCCGGTCACGAAAGGAGCGTGAAGCGCTTGGAGAGAAAATCAAGAAAATGCCAAGTGATTAAGGTGGAGACAATGAGTTGTTAGACCCTTTAAGGGGAAGGCTGGTCGATTGGATCGTCTGGAGATCTTACAGAAGGAGATTCTAAAGGAAGGTGCCAACGGATTAAAGTAAAAAAAAGGCCATGGTGAACCACCTGAGGACTTCTGATAGAAGCTTTAGTATGCTTGAATCTGATTTGGGAAGAGGGACGCGTACGCACCAGAATTCGCTTTCCGAGACGCCTGAGTGAGAAGCAAAACGAAGACAGTACTTTACCGCCGATCCATATGGATACTTTGCTAAGAATCAGCGTGGATGTAAGGACCCAATTTTTTTACAACAGCCTTCCTGTGGTCCTGAATCTGGTAGCGTTCCACGCGTAATTCACGTGGAGGTGTAATAAGGTGCAGGAATTCCTATACCCCAATTATTGCATTGCAAGGTGGCGGTTAAAAGCTCGGAGTATCCAGATGATAGTCAGAAAGAGCTGGAGATTCGCCTTTTAGGTGGCAAGGGATTGTAACAAAGACTTGGGTTATGGATTTTCTGGAGCGGGATCGGCAATTTGAAAGACAAATTGTACTAAAACAGTCTGCATGTGGATATGCCTGGCTGGAAGATGAGATAGTATATTGAATAGGTCATTATCTGGATGGTATGTCGGAAAGTACTTCAACAAGCTAATTGGTCTTTGATGGAGACAGGTTGACACGCTTAAGTGCACAATAAAACTTATGTTTCAAGATTTAAATACCAATATTACT